CAATCCTAAATTGATAGCTGTTTTCCGACGAAATGAATGATTTTTCAGTACCTGAATCTAGTAAACATCTACAATTATGAATTCATTTTTTTGAGGTTTTAAACCTTAATTAAAGCAGTACACAAAAGTACATGACTATGTTTACCATTATCATGAGCTCCAAAATGTTGATTTTCATGGTTGTTTGCACAAACAGTTGGTGAAACCTCACTCAAGTTGTTTTTTCTCTGGTTTAATTTGCGATTTCGGAACAAACACTTGTGCTTCCGGTGAAGGGAATCTCGATGCATTTTTTGGTTTGAAATGATTTTCTAATTGCAAAATGCTATGATGCTTAAAACAATGCTTGCAGGTATTTGCTCTCTTACACATTTTAACTTTATGGACATTAGACAAGCAATTAAAACAAAGTTTATTAGTCTTAACAAACTCTATTGGTTTTTGCACTGGTAAATTAAAAAAATTAGAACACCTGTAAAAAAATAAAAAATGATCTTCTTTACAAAATAAGCAAGTAGAATTAGTAATCAGAGAAGTAAACCCTATTATACACTGGTTTATCTGATTTATGCGTTTTACTAATTAAAGGTTTACTGTTCTGTAATGTTCTAGCGTAATTCTTCAAAAATTCTATCAAGTCATTCAACTTTGGTATTTCGTCTTTTTTTAAATTGACGCTCCCACCACAACTTTGTCGAAACGTCAAGTTTTTGCAAAATAATATACAACAACAAAGTATCACTAAAATTATCTATCCTTTGATCTAATATTTCCAATGAGCGAGTTATTTCGTTTACGTTATCTACTAAACTTAATATCGATGATGCAGATTCCGTTTGTATTTGTGAAACGTTAAGAATTCTTTTAATAAAATCAAATATCTGTTCTCTATTATTAGAAAATCTTTCTTCTAGTAAATTCCAAGCAATACTGAAATTTTGATCAGCTATGGGAATTGACTGAATAATGCGATAAGCATCATTTTTCAAAGAACTCTTTAAATATTGTAATTTTTGAGCTCCAGAAAGATTTGGATTGTTGCGAACACTAGCGTTAAATAAATCTTTAAATGTTATCCATTCAGTTAAATTTCCGCTAAATGTGGGTAAAGATAATTTCGGTAACTTTAAACTTTCAGAGATTGATTCAGGTATGACAGGGTTATCGCCATTTGCATTTACGATCTTGTAAATCTTTAACTTACGAATAATTTTTAAGTGAACCTCCTCAATTTCCTCTAAAATCGACTGTTCTTCCTCAACGAAAGTGTCTATTTTATCATCATCACAATTTGTATAAATTTCTGTAAATAGAGATTTAAAATCTTCCTTAAAGATTTCATATTTTTCTAATATTAATTCAGCTTCAGCATTATCTAAGTTATCATAATCTATTCTATCGATGAATTTCGTTAACTGTGTTTTCAAAATTCTCTTTCGCTTTTTTTCTATATCTGACATTTTGAAAATATTCTAAATTCCCGATTTTACTCATACTTTAAACACAAAAATAGTAGCAATAATGAAATCTCAAATGCAATTAAAATGCGTTAACTATTTCACTCACCTCGTACACTGTATCCATTGCGTAACTCTTGAGAATTCTAAACCGAAATTGCATTATCAACTCCATTACGGACACTTAGAATTCTTATTCACAAGCGCGGTTTTTCTTCGAAGCTCCGGCGTAGGACGACCAAATAATGTAGCGAAGCGGTATCTTAACTTTAAATTAATAAACCTAAGAATACATCAATGCGAGTGGACTGTAAATTTACCTTTATTCGGGAGTTTGAACTTTCGAACACAACACAGCACAAAGTAAAACGACAGAGTTACAATTAGCGGTTTTAAGAATGCAAGAACAAAATGCGAGCTGCACATACAATCTGCGCATTGCGAAATAATATCTCACAGAGAGGCAGAGAGCTCTGGTGGCCGAAACACCTGGAATAATAAAGAAAGCCTAAAATATATAAAAGACTAAATGGTGCACAGGCTATTCACATTTAATGGCAAATTTACAATTAGTGTAAGATGTGGCTAAACAATCGATTTTCGTTTTGTTCAGAACTTGATTAAGCCAGCTTCTTTTTCACGCACATCTATTCCCTCAGAAATATCATTGCAAGGTATCACACTCCAATATATTATAATATTTATTGTTTAGGTAACATTAATGGCAAGAATAACACCTCTGTCAAAACAATAAGTTTTATATCTGTAAAATGCTTCGCTATTTCTTCTACACAAAGCTGATATCTGCGTTCTGTGGAGAGATTGATAGTGCCAGATAACTGAATGATTCAGAGATATTAACTAAAAGTGGATCTTACTAATTTAAATTATATGAGAAATTTAAAAATATTATTTAGCTTTGCTTATTTATTTATTTGACGAATTTAGCTTTGCAAGCTTACAAAGATGTTATACTTAAAGATCCACTAGCACTGAGCAATAGTCAAGTAAATAATACCCCTACATGTAAATGGTGGGGAGAAAGAAAATGAAAACACACAAGTAAACAAAAGATTACGCTAAAGACAAATTTAACAATTAAAATCGTTTGATTCAATTTCGAAGATCTACTTGAACAGATTAATACAAAACTTGATGGTGTGGTTTCGGAATGTGAACGTTTTCTCCATCTCTCACATATTAATCTTATAATAGTTTCTTTTGTATTTACTATATTCTTTAATGCTGTTATTTATTGATTCATTTTGCTGTAAAGAATTTTGCAGCGAGTGAAAATGTTAGTGAGATGGAGAATTACTCGCAAAACCAGTACGAAAGTATGTGACAATATGGACATCATATTTGGCATCAAAAGGCCCCCCAAATTGAAAAGTGACTCATTTTGGACACTTTTAATTATTTTGAGAATGATAACTAATTTTAAAGTTTCATTGTTATTTTCTACATAATCCGTATATTTAGCAGCAAAACTATAGGAAACTAGTAAAAATTTTTTGTTCAGTGTAGTTTACGATTCATTGTAATCATGATATTCCTGAAAAGTACACGCATTAATCTAAGCAACAATTAGAGAAGGAACAGTATCACCTTGATCACAGATTTCGTATTTGATTAAGGCGATCTTTTCTTTTTTTTTTTTTTTAAATATTAATACAGATTATTAGTAAGCAAAATTGCAAATGAGAATTAAAGGAAAAGTATCATCTTGATCAATGATTTTGTATTTGATTAATGAGATCTTTTCTTTTTTAAAATACTAATACAAATTACTAGTAAGCAAAGTTGCATATAATAATGAGAAAAATTATATTATAATTTTATTTTCCGAAGTTTTCCATTTTTATTATCCTCATTTTAAGTTCTATATGCTATAAGAGTGATATGTTATATGCAAATATGTCACAAAATAATTGGAACAACTTCGTCATCAAAGTTAACGACTTTGTTGAGCTACAATTTTTACTTTACATTTTATATTTTTCTTTGAAATCTATTAAAGCTTAATGAGCAGTCAGCCTGGAAGTTTAAGCTCCAGTTTGCCTGGTGAGCGAAATCTTGCGATATGTATCTTGATCATCAGGAAGTAATTGCTGAAAAGGGAAGGTTGCTACTCCGCCTTCTTCCGTTGTACGATAATAAATGAATTTAGATGTTAATTTTTCCTTTAAAGGACTTATGTCTTCATATATAATCAATCTTTCTGTTCTTAAAATTATGCGACATAAATGTTAGGGGGGAATCATAAAATGGCAGTCGAAGTGATTAATTTTACTCACAGCAAAATAACTTTTGGGCATGTCTAGTAAACAAGGATATTTTATAATTGATGAAATAAATCTTTATAGCAAAAAATATTTATCTTCAAAATGAATAGCGAACGTAATATAGTACATGAATTCCCTGGTAACAAAGTAACCTAAAGCACAGTTTACGTGTAAACGTATGTATGCCACCAGGACATCTCGATAAGTTATTAACTGTTGCCACCGCATGACTGACTGCTTACGGAAAGGAAAACCCCCAGAATGTCTGAGAGAGACCCTTGACCAGTCTTGCAGTTTTTGAGAACCCGGTCTATTTCCTTCCACAAAAACAGCCCGCTAATTCCAGGGGCCCATCACACACTCCACTCTGACCGGTAAGGCTTTAGTATGAAAATTAATGCATTACGTATATATTATCATTCGGTGTGCGTACGAGAGAAGCCTTATATGATATTATGACTGCACAAAATATCCAAATAGCAGAAACAATGCTATTAAAATATAACGAAGGCAAACGGAATCTTTACGATACAAAATCCAACGCTAGCGCAGAAACATAATGCTTAGGTTTGGTTTTATTGTCGGTTAAACTTTTGTTAAACTCTTGTAGCAATTAAGCCACGCCAATAATACGTAATAATAGCCAATAATACGTAAGCCACATTTCTTACGTATTATTATAGGCCAAAACGGGATTATAAGAGTCCAATATGTCTTAAGATGACCTTTATTTAATTTTACCTCTAATTTGAGTATTAGATTTAAAGCAACCTTCTCCTTATAATGTGTCGATTATGTTTGCAAAATTATGAAAACAGTCAGAAAATTTCTTAAAAAACGTGAAACACATCTAAATTTTTTGGGTAAAATTATAATGACTTTCCTTCTGCTTGAAACAGAAACACGGCAATATAAAATTTAAAGTTAGGTAAACAAAGCAACTTTGTATTGGCTTTGGTTGAAATTTCGTCGATTTCGAATGTGGAATTCTTCTACTTCAACGAAAAAAAAATTACTTTTGCAGAAGATGTATCGAAATGTGATCGCCCTTTTAACAGAGTTTTTTTTTTTCTTCAAAATCGACGCCATCTAAGGCTGATTTTTACTTAAATCTAGACTTTTTTAGTATTTTCTTCTTTTATTCACTGTGTCTCAATTGGCTTGCTGAAAGGGACTAATCTGGTTAAGATAATGGAAGTATGTAAAATGAGTATACAATTTAAGATATCTAAAGTATGAAAATATTTCATATTCGCAGATAAATTATTCGGTCCCATGGACTTCACAAGACGAGATTTGGCAGCTTTAAACATTATGCGTGGACGAGACAATGGGTTGCCCGATTATAATACAGTTCGCCATTACTTCCAGCTACCAGTTCTGGGCAATTGGTCTGAAATCAATCCTAAATTGTATGAGCTAAAACCAGAGGTAAATATAGATATATGTTTTCTTTCCTTTCTAAAATTTAGACATAGTTCATAAATTTGCTATTATAAGGAGAACTTATTATGAACGTGGTTCAAGTTTTTTTTTCCATGTATACTTCAGAATTTGTATTTGAGTTAGCTTAATATTGCATTTTATTTTATAAAAATCTAATAAATTTGTTTACATTTCTACGAATTTAAGTAATTTTATAATCTTCTCTTTTTTCCCCCCATTTTCAGATATTTAAGTAATGTGAATTCATTATAAATTTGTATTTAAATGAAATCTTCTTGACTTTGAGATCTTGAATTGAGTGAAATATTTTTATTTTATTGGATGGTGCCTTAAAATGAATTTACACCGGTTTCCTAATAGGTAAATTGCGCTAATTATTAAATATCAATTATTTAAATTTCATTTGAATTAAACTACTTTTAGTTCTATTTTGTTTTTAAATAAGAGACAAGTTCTGTTGTTTAATCAGAGTATTTACATATTTATTTTATAAGGTTACATTTGATCTGGTAATACTATTTTAGTCGTATAACTCTAACAGACGTTAAGCGAGTTATCGCTGTGTCTGAGATGAAAGACAAAGTCTTAAGAAGGTTATAATAACCTTTTGATTTAAACAGAGCTCCGAACATAAGGGCATGCTTGTGCTATAATAACTACAACTCGTGGTGGTGCAAAGAAATAGAACAGTCAAATTTAAATTTAACAATGAACAGTTGACAAAGATACGCAATTTAGTATTGTACTAGAAGCTTGTTCAATAACCTTACTAGCGCATCTGATTCAAGGATGTAGTCTGAAATTTCTACTTTATATTCCCCCTTTCCCTGCAAGAAAATGTAATAACAGCGTTGATGAAGGACTTCCTAATACACATTCGTAGCATATTTATTATTTCATACTTTTGGCCATCTTAAAACCACCTCTAGGATTTCGTGAAAATACGATCGGTAACTGTGAAAAAGACTTCGATGACCTGGTGGCTTCGAGTGATCATAATTTACTCGCTCACTATCTTAAAACTCTAGCATAAATATAATGCGGAAAAGTATCCTTTCAAATATCGTGTATTTGGTCCCAATGTTAAATGAACTGCAAAACGATTAAGGGGAAGATATTTTGAAGCATGTAATACTAAAAAATTCTTTAAATAATCTCCGTTTATTATTCCAAGTCACATCCTTAAATACTGGGGATATTTGTCATTATGCGCCTGATAGCGTTCCAAACACATCTATATGTTAGTCCTTAAAGATACTCGTTATCTCAGATGTACAAGTCAGTTTTATTAGCTGTGTTTTTCGGTTTCATTTCTTCATCTACCTCTCTTTAAATTTTGAAAATGCTTAGTTCATTTAAAGCTTTCCCTAACTTTTTTGTACTGATTACTTCGGTTCTTTGATCATAACACTTTTCTGTTGTTTTCTTTCTTTAGATGTTCGAAGCACTAAATAAGGCTTATGATGGTAACATGGAAAACATTGACTTATACATAGGAGGCATGTTGGAAACAGAACTTGATGGTCGACCAGGACCATTATTCAGAAGAATCATCAAAGAGCAGTTTGAGCGATTGAGGGATGCTGACCGCTTTTGGTTTGAGAACACAGCCAACGGGTACAGTGCTTTTAATATCTTTCACATTGCTTTCAAGTACAGGATGCCCCATAAGTCCAGAGTTATAGGATTAATCGTTAGCTCCCAGGGTACTGCACATATCGCTATTGATCATTACACGGAACTCTGGACAACGCAACGAAATCCGGCAAAAACTTTGCGATCAATACGTCGCGAACAAAATCTCCGCGGGGAAGATACCGTGAGAGAATAACATTTTCTTAACACGCTCTTCTCACTTAACCTATCCGCGCAACAGCAGTAGCCGTATAAATGAACGTCGACTGACGAAATCATTCATCTCATGTCTTCGACTCAGATACATCCTAGACGTGCTAATGCTATCGTTTGAGACACTGTTATCATTTTGAGATCTACAGCAATTCATTGTGCATTCAGAACCTCACTCTAGCTGGGAACTTAGCACACGCTAGACACACCGCTGATAAAAAAACCTCCAGCACAAATTACTCTAAGATAGCTTAACCGCATTGCAGCCCATTTTAAACATGGTATCGCGTGAAGGGAGGGAAGCAAGAAAAAAGATGGCATTTCTAAAACACTTCAATATAAAATACTGGTGCTCGTAAATACATGTCTGGTAATGTAATGTAATATATGAGTGTTCTGTAAAGCATCCATAAACCTTGGCAATTTTAAAATAGCAAAGTAAATTCGTGATAAAGGAATAGATTTGAAATTTCCCTTGACGATGACATCGCAGGCTTTCGTTTTCAAATTTTAGAATTTTAAATGCATGTTCGCCGTTACAGTAACTGAGGAATATTTACTCAAATGATTTCAAATTTTTTGAATTAACTAATGCTTTTTATCAGAACTTTCAAGAAAAAGAAGTAAACATTCTAAATATTAAAAAAAATTAGAAATTACAAGTATTCATAGGAGCAAATAGTAAAAATTTTAAACTTAGTCATTAATTTTATTACATTACATATATGTAATCATTAATTTTAATACATTATATATGTAATCATTAATTTTGATGCATTCACTTTCATAAAGTTTTAACTAAATTAGTTTTTTAGCAAAGACTGCGTTTATTAAATTAGAAAGATATTAATAATTTCGTTCACATTTTTAACTAAATTTTACAGTTATCATTTGGTTGTTGATTCATTGTTATGGCCAAACATGTTAGGGGAACTATCTTGCATTTCAGTGGGAATAAATGAAGGGTTGATGTTTAAACGTCTTTTTCTAGAAATAAAATGAAATTACAGTAGAATCTCGATTACCTGTGGTATCTGGGGCAGTGACTTTCTTGGTAATTTGGAACGCTGTTCTGGCAGTGGGATCATATGGACATGTTATTGATGTGAACGTATACAAGCGTATAATATTAAGCAGAAACATTAAACTCTACTGTGATGCTGGACTTGTGGGGTATTCTATACATTAGAGCTCCTAAAGCTAGATTAACTGAGACTGGATACTCAATCTAAGTTGATCCTATACGAATGGGGGGCTACGGTTATTGTAAAGCAAGGGATGCAACTTATAACAACCTATTTTTGTTTTAGTAAACAAACGAAAGTAATATTTATTTGCTCAAGTTTCTAAATCGGAGCATGTAATTCTAGTTCTCGTTTTATTGTATTAAAATTAAACAAAGAAATAATTATTTATTTCCCTAAAATTAACCTGTTTTGATGAATTAAAATTAAACGAAAATACCATTTTTAATAATAAAAAATTGAAGTTACCTAAGCGATACACATTATTAAATTTTTTTTTGTCAAACCATTTGCAATAAATTATAATTTCAATGAAAAATATCCTTAAAATCAACGAAGTAATAAAAGAGCAAAACAAACAAGAACAAGCTTAATAATTTTACTTGATGTGGAAAGAAGAATAAAATATCTCAAATTTGAAATTTCCGAATGTCTTAAGTCCGATGAACTGGTGTTGTATAGCAAAATGTCAATTTTTACAAAAAGCTCAAATTAGTTTTATAATAAGAAATGACTTAGTGGATCTCCTTCTCATCATTTAAAAGAGAATTATTTTGATCTAAACAAAATACTTTCCTCTTATAGTACTTTGTATAATTTACATAAATAACTCATTAACTGTCTTTTGCTGATTTTTTTAAGGTTAAGTTTAAGTAATTTAAGTATTGTTCCCTTTTGAGAATATTTGATGCTTTCAGAAGTCAAACAACAAAAATCAGCGTTATATTTTCAAAATTTTCACAGGCCTAGTTTCGATGGTTTTACCGAACCACCATCCTCAGCTGCAAAACCGCAAATGAACAAGATTGGAAATAATCATTAGATAAGATAAGAAAGCCTGCACAAGAATAAGCAAGTGGCGCCATCTGTTGATTAAACCAGAACTAAAACATAACTTCTTTAAAGGCCGAAGCCAAAGATGGATTGCAATTAGGATCGTTAACCAGAAGAGAAAGATTTTTTTGAATGTGAAATGCCTCTAGAAGATCCAGTTCTCCAATGGAAGATGTTTTTTGAATAATTTTGGCAGCAGAAAAATTGAAAGTGTGATTTTCGGACCAACAATGTTGAGCAACAGAAGACTTCTGTATTTCCTTTTTTCTAACATACGCCTCATGTTCCTTGACGCGAAATTTTAAGACTCTCTTAGTTTCGCCAATGTAAATTAAACCACACTGGCAAGGAATCCTATAAATACCCCAGGAGTTCATATCCGGAATGCGGTCCTTGAGTATGGAACTCTGAATTTTATTGTTGGGAGAATAAACAACCCGAAAGTTAAATTTCTGCAAAATATGTGCAACTTTATAGCTAATTGATGGAAAGAAGGGAATGACAACAGAATTTTTATAATATCCTAAAACAAGAGTGTGACTTTTAGTGTGTTGACATGCGAATTTTTTAATTGCTTTATTAATAATGTTGGGTGAAAAGCCCCTGTCAATAGCTATTGCCTTTAAATAATTTAGTTCTTCATCAAGGGATAGTTTGGAGGAGCAAACTTGAAGAGCACGAAAAACATAGGAATAAAATGAAGCTAACTTTTGTTTAGTCGGATGGCATTATTTAAAGTGTGGTGGAAGGCAAACCGATGAAGGTTTACGTAAACCATAGTACTGAAGTTGGATGTGTTACGTGTGACCAGAATGACGAGAAACAGAAGAGAATTGCAAGTCTCAAGTTCAAAAGTGAACTGAATAGCAGGAATAATGATAAACTTGAGACTTGCAATTCTCTTCTGTTTCTCGTCATTCTGGTCACACGTAACACATCCAACTTCAGTACTACGGTTTACCGTAAAACTTCATCGTTTTGCCTTAATCATGCCATCCGACTAAACAAAAGTTAGCTTCATTTTATTCCTATGTTTTCCGTGCTCTTCAAGTTTGCTCTTCCAAACTATCCCTTGATGAAGAACTAAATTATTTAAAGGCAATAGTTATTGACAAGGGCTTTTCACCCAACATTATTAATCAAGCAGTTAACAAATTCTCATCTCAACACACCAAAAGGCACACTCTTGTTTTACGAGATTATAAAAATTCTGTTGTCATTCCCTTCTTTCCATCAATTAGCTATAAAGTTGCACATATTTTTCAGAAATTTAACTTTCGAGTTGTTTATTCTCCCATCAATAAAACTCCGAGTTCCATACTCAAGGACCCCATTCCGGATATGAATTCCTGGGGTATTTATAGGATTCCTTCCCAGTGCGGTTTAATTTACATTGGCCAAACTAAGAGAGCCAAAAAATTTCGCCTCAAGGAACATGAGGCATATGTTAGAAAAAAGGAAATACAGAAGTCTTCTGTTGCTCAACATTTGTTGATCCGAAAATCACACTTTCAATTTTTCTGCTGCCAAAATTATTCAAAAAACATCTTCCATTGGAGAACTGGATCTTCTAGAGGCATTTAACATTCAAAAAATCTTTCTGTTCTAGTTAACGATCCTAATTACAATCCATCTTTGGCTTCGGCCTTTAAAGAAATTATGTTTTAGTTCTGGTTTCATCAACAGATGGCGCCACATGCTTAGTCTTGTGCAAGCTTTCTTTTTTTAGCTAATCATTGTTTCCTATCATATTCATTTGCGGTTTTGCAGCTGAGGATGGTGGTTCGGTAAAACCATCGAAGCTAGTCCTGTGAAAATTTTGAAAATATAACGCTGATTGTTGTTGTTTTACTTCTGAATTAGTATTTGTTCGGGGTGTTATTGTGACATAATTTTATGTTTTCTTTAGTGATCACATAATTATCAGAATATTTTTAGTATTTTTACAGAATCAGAAATCGAAGAGATAAAAAAACTGAAGTTACGAGATGTGCTGATTCACGCTACTGGTATTAAAGACCCAGATGTACAGAAAAATATTTTCTTTTGGAAAGAAGGTAAGGAATGTTCACTTCTCTCCATTAACTTACAGTAGCACAAAATGGATAAAATTATCTGAAAGTTTTGAGTTTTCTAGTGTGAGTAGAAATTCCAAACTATTTCACATTTTCAGCAAATTTATTAGTTAACATCATCACGGTTAATATACTGAATAGTATTATGTTCAATAGTAATTTTGCAAAACTTGCATATTGTTAATAAAAGTTTAAATATGTATATTAAAAAAGAAAACGTCACGAATAGAATCAAACTAAGAACAGCAACATTTTATAAAGAACAATGCTTTGAATAAAAAATTCAGAATGATTCTACGTATGCGAAATATCAAAAACTTTCATTTCTAGCTGGTTGTTAAATCAATATGGCTGTATGCAGAAAACATCATGAGTTTAAGCAGGACATGACTGTTGATGCTACAAAGATCATCGTACGATGTCTAAGATCATAATGTTTTCGGCTTTTCTAAGTGTACATTTTCAACAGTGAGATTTGGAAAGCACGGAGTGTATTTCTGCACGTAGAAACTGAAAGATGGGCTATATTACGTTCCATATTAGGCTTGAGTTCATTTCGACTGGAACAAGTGATTATAGATCACAAACAGGCTACGAGTACAGTGCATGTATTCGGGAGAGTATACAGGTTCTTATAAATCTGCATTCGAAATTACTGTTCGAGCCCTTACGGTGTTTTGCAACTGTTAACAGGCTCTCGATCTAAACTTTTTGACAATTTATAAGATCCACTAGAAACTAAAAGCAATATAATTCTGTTCAATGTAATACAATTATGAGATTTACTGAAAGGTTTGAGGGCAGCCTGTCGAATAATTTTGCCAACTTGTTGACTCCATATTACGATACATCGAGGCTTTCTGAAAATTATAGAAGACCAAATCCTTTGCTGAGTCCCTTGACTTAAGTGCAATTTAAGTATTTCGCCTTTCAGTATAATTCACAACTTCTTATGGTTTCTGCTTTAAGGTAGTAGTAGAAATGGAAAGAGTGATGAGCATTCCTAGAGCCAACATTCATTTTCTGATATGACATAAGTAGCCCCTAACCATATAAAATCTATCAGCATATCAAAAAAAGTGTCAGGTCAATTCTAAAGACGAGACACTTAGAAAATAATAAATATCTTAGACAGTTCGCAGTTAATATCAGCAAAGATTTATTTAGAACAACAGAGTGTCAAAGCTCTGCGAATATCTTTTTGAATAATTCTTCAGGACTTAATACCTGTTGTGTATCTTTTCACCTCTTGTCAATTTATTAGAAAGTCTAATTGTTAGATTTACTTTTTTCACGAAATTATTTGTTTTAAGAAATCATCCCTACTAAAAATGCCCCATAGAAACCAGTAAAACTTTTTATGGGTACCCATAAGATTTTATGGGATTTTATTGACTTTTACTGGTTTCTGTTGGTCTCTGTGGGTTTTTTTTACTGGTTTCAAAATGACCCATAGAAACCAGTAAAACTTTCTACTGGTACCTACAGAATTTTTGATGGTTTCTATTGACTTTTACTGGTTTCTATTGATCTCTGTGGGTTTTTCTTACTGGTATCAATTGACCCCATACAACCAACATTCAATAGGCAGAACTTTGTACTGGTTTCTATAGGTTTATTGGCTTTTGCTGGGTTTTCTTACTGGTATCAATATAATAATAAATCTTCTGTTGGTTTATATGGGTTTGTGCTATTTTTTTATCTGACGTTAATATACTTCTTGGAAACAATAAAATTAACAGAATGAAAATATGATCTCTTTAGGACCACCAGAGTAACCTGGTAAACGTATGTGGTCGTTTTAGAGAGGGTTTTTACTAAATATGCTCATTTATTTGTTTTTTAAAAATTTTTTTTCAGAAACAATAACAGTAATCGCATACACCACACACAATGAGGTCTCTCCAAGGCGACCAGCCACAAATAAAAATGCATCTTTGGCAAGTGGTCGCCTTAGAGAGGTGATGTTCAATACCAAAGATACACTTCACGTTCTCAGAAGATACGTTTATCTTTTAGAGGTGGTCGTCTTAGGGAGGATTCATCTACGGAATGAATCTCTCTAAGGCGACCAGACACACTTGCAGAATTTTCTTTGTGAATGGTCGCCTTACAGAGGCAATATTCAATACCAAAGTATACTTATGTTTTTCAGAAATACTTGTTTCTTTCAGAGGCGGTCGTCTTAGGGAGGTGGTTTTTGCTACGAGTTTGGTTCTCTGAATACACACACATAAGCACTTACATTTCTGATATTACAAAAAACACCGGTATCAACCAACATCTCTTTAACGCGAACAAGTTCATTCACAATCGCAAAACTTTTCTCCCTGTTAACGCTGACGTGAAGAAAAAGAAAAAAATTCTCCCTCCCTCTTCCACTCTCAGAAGTTCCCAAACAAGCAATATGGCGCCGCTCTAGTTATTGTTGTGTGATGGGTGGTGTTATTTTCTTCGTGGTTGTAGTAATGCAATATATTATTTACTAGGATTTACTGTATTACAAATTTTACTATGTTTTACTGTTTAGAAATTAGTAATAAATAATAAAATACCAGCACTGACTATGAATATACAACTAAAGCCATGCACGTGTAATCGTGTCTAATGTTTGAGAGAACGTTGCTTTCTGAGCGTGAAATTGATTTTCCATCTTTACTTTTATCCTGAAAAACAATGTGCTTAAAGACTGAAAAGTGATAATTTCAGACTTGATAATTTGTTTCAGTGTGCAGATGCAGAAATGTAGTTTTTTTGCATTCTACTGAAACTGTATTTTGGAAAATTTAATTTTTTGATTACAGTTTAGAAATACTTTTTTAAAGCTTGTTCATGTAGATGCTTTATCATTTGAATATTATGTACTAATAAATTTGAGCATACCTTACTTAAAAATGATCTTGCATGATTCAATTTTGAATTTTTCGACTAATGTGATGTGGCCAAGCAAAAAGAATGTTTTTTTATGTTTTAAAAAATGTATTAATTATATTTCGCAAGCAAAAAAGGTAAGTTTTATTAATGAAATAAACATTGAAGTATTTAATGTGTTTATTACTTATTGAATGGGGTAGACAAGACATACAAGCTTAAGGTTGACGCAGCCCACAAAAAGGCCATAGGGCGACGTAAAGTCTGCCAGGAGGATCGGGCTGCTTCCCTCATATCATATCATATCATATCATACAAGCTTAAGGAATCTTTTTTCCATTACTAAAATAATGTAAAAATTTAGATGATCATAGTAGCTTACATTTTTTTTCTTTTTGGTCTATTTTCTTTACAAGTATGAAGACTAGAAACCACATTTTTACATTAAATATTTTGTGCTCTTTTGTTAAAACACATATAATCATTTTTAATGCATACTTTAATTTTCCATTATTATTAGTTTGATGAAGAAAATTTCAAATGTGTTTTTCATAAATTGCTTTTGAAATAGAAATAGATTTGTGAATAAGATTTATGTAATATTAAATGTACTAGTCTTGGGAGTTAAAAAAGTGAATTATTTATTTGAAAAAAATTACATTTAGTTTGAAACCTCATATAGTGGTTATTTTCTTAAATGACCACCTCTGATAATGGCACATTTGTCAGGACAATAATTAAATAACAGAACTTAAAAATCATTCATAGTTTTGTCAGGCTACAGGAAACTCGCATTATCTCGAATTGTGGAGTTGATTGTTTTAGGAACGTTTTGCTGTATAATCAATTGACTTCGCTGTAGTAATTTTTACGTGGGTATGAATTTTGCAGAAGTAATTGAAAGTTTTTACGAGACATTTAAAACCAAAGCTTTTTGGATCATGAGTCTTATAAGGGCACTGTTATAGCATTGCTTTCAAATATAGTTAGATTAATATTTAAACATTATTTTCGGAATCACTTCCACAGGGAATCCGGTTGTTCTCTGCGGATGAAAACCCATATAAATAAATCTTCTGTACAGCCTTATACAAATGCAGTTAAAATTACTGTCATTACAATTAAGCGAATATAGCCACATTTGTTTACAAAAAGTTATTATTGCTAAATACTGCACTATATCAATTTCATTTAGCATTGTAATTTCAGAAAATGCTCAGCATGAGGTATTTTTATATTATATAATCTACTGTCAAAAACAACAGCTATCTTTTCAGTACTTTAAATTTTACTATTGAGAATTTTTATGGTTCAAAATAATATTCTATACATTATTTCAAGTATTCTTCTACAATAGAAATCTAAATAACTTGCACCTAAAACACTGACTCAAATTTATTCCATAATGCCATCGCTTTAATTAAATTTATGTTCCCTTGAGATGATATATGAAAAACCTTGTGTAATAATAAATTATTAATATATATAGGTAAATAGTATTTTTATATATTTTTTCGGGTAAAGTGCAGAATCGCCCACTTATTTATTTGGCACTTTGTAAAAGTAAAAGGAATTGGATTTTTGTCAATTTTTCTTTTGACTTTTAAAGTGAAAATAGGTTGATGTGTACATGAATAAAGTCAAAGGAGTGCACAATGGCATTTTTGTTCAATTCTGAGATGTTTTTTTTTAAGTGAAATAGGTCGATGTGTACATGGATACCGAGTTATGTGCAATTCTTAAAAACATGCCAAGCAGTGGGCGATTCTACACTTTCCCCATTTTTTTTCTATAGGAATTTAGTTTCATTAAATTAGTTATTTAGTATAATTATGTGTATATGAGTATATTCATACTTATTCACATAGATGGAATTTTTACAGTACGAAAGTTTATCTTTTTTACATCAAGAACTACATATACTATAAATACCCATTATGTTATAGATTTTATTTATATAAAATCTGTGGAAGATTATATAGCACTAAAAGTGAGATACGGAATAAAACATTATACGCTATGAGATATTTTGGTTGATCTTTACAATATGGTAACTGGTAGTTTGGCGACATTTTGGAGGCGATATAGGTTACTACCTGGGACTTTTGTAA